TATTCTTCTACTGTCATTCAAAGCACAGACTCTTGCACAGAAAGGAAAGGTGATGCCTGCATACTCACTAAGAGCTTTGGGAAGTCTTTCGGGTACTTTCTCCTATGTCACTGTGTGGCTCAGGAAATTCTGATTGCCCACAACTATGGTCACCAATGACTTCTTTTGTGAATGGAAGTCCAAGGTCAGGCTCACCATTCCACGGTTGCTGTATTTCATGCATATTTACATTGCATCTCCCATTTATCTTATTTTTATTCTGCCCTTACAACCTTCCCTCTCACTGTCTCCATTCAAATATTAGCTACTTGGTAATTATTAGCTGCTTGGTAATATGGTATAAATCATTTTTATGGCTTCTCCACCATATTTCTGCTAACAGCTACCATGCCACATTAACATTACATTATGTATCCCAAAGGGAGGGGTATGACCCACATGCACACTTTCCAACTGATTTATGACAGGGCCAGGCCACTAGGCCTAGGAAACTATTTATCTTGTGGCACCAGGAGCTTAATACAGCCTGTTATCCCAAACCAGAGACACTTCAGGAGAATGTCAATGGAGGAAGCCCTGGTGGCATGTGATCACTAGAAATATTTGACTTTTAAACAGAAGAGATAATGTATCTCCAATACTGTTTAATCCTTAGGCAATCATAAGACGTATTACATAAATAGGGCGGGACCTCTTAGCATCCTACCACCCACTCCCCGTAGCACACAGAGTAAGAAACTGTTAGCATTTAGTAGCAGAGATTTGTAGTTTGAGACTTTAACTGCATTTCAAACCTGACCCTCCTGTGCAATAAGGAGACACACTGGTGGGGATATGGTGGCTGTTAGGAGTGAGTTAGGACAAAAGAAATAAAGATAAGCAGATGGGAGACAGGAAGATCTATATTTTCTCTTTTTTATTTACGTTAGAACTTTGGGATCCCTGCTCAGCCCTGCATGTAGGCACGCTAATCTCTCAGGCAATATCTGCATTGCAAAGTTTATTACCCTTAAATTTACCTAGTCTGTCTCATCCCCCTTCAAAATGGAGGACACCCAGATAAGAGACACTACTTTTCAGCATCGCAGGAGCATTCAATTGCCTGCTTTTACAACATCCAGCTCCAGACAGTCCCCTGAAGTGATGCCAACAAGTCTCCCAACCTGTAATCACCACAGAGTCCAGGGAAAGAGAAGCCTGGCAGAACACCCATGATAAGATCACATCCCCAAAAGCCAGGAGAATCACCCCTGCCCAAGGACAATCAAGGCTGGGAATGTAATTGCCCCTCAGTGGTAAGGAATTCTCCAGGACTCCTCCATAGCTATGCAAATCAGTATTGAGATAATGGACCACTCACCCTGGCCCATCCCAGTTAGGCTTTGAAACTTGGTCCTTGTGCTTTTGTAAGTGGATCAGTCTGAATCACTGCATCAGAGGGAGGGAGCTACAGTTACCCAAGCTGAGACTTTTTTGTTTGTTTCCTTTTCTCCCTTAATTTTTAATTCTGATTAATAAACCAATCTTTGCCTCCCACTGATGCATCCTGAAATTTGTTTGCTATGGCCTAAATCAAGAATGGACTTGGAAACTCCCAGTGGAAGCCCCCATCTCCTGTGTGTGGGGCCTCCTAAAACCAACTGAGGTGACAAGAAGACAGTCCAGAGAATGATACAGGAAATCTACAACCTAGGGATGGAGCAGTGGGGTCTGGAATGAACATGCTCCACAGAGAACATCTGGAAAGCATGAGCTCAGAGTAAATTTATGCGAGCATGTAGAAGAAAAGATGGACCTGCTCCTGGAATCAAGGTTCATCTCAGAAAGGTAGCTTGCTGCTAGGCCCCTGCACTCCTTCAGCTTTCAGACTTCAGTTACTAGTCACACACAATGGCTCATCCCACAATCTCAGCACTCAGGGAGGTGGAGACTGAAGAGTCACAGTTTCTAGCCCTACCAGAGCAAGCTAGCCAGACTCTATCTCAAAATATAAAGCAAAGCAAAGCAGAGCAAAAGGATGTTGAGGACATAGCTCAGTGATTCTGCTCTCCAGTTCAGTCCCCAGTACCATACACATGTACCATGTTCCTTTATGAGGACCTAAAGAGTGAGCCTCAGCACTGTGAATCCCCGGCTGGGAATGCAGTCCAGAGCATAGTTGAGAAGAAGTGGGCTGACATAGCAAATCATGCACACAGTCTGGGAGGGCAGCTCCCTTCCAGCCTCTTTCCCATTGTGATTTTTAGGAAAAGGCAGCCAACAATCATGACAGATGAGGGATGGAGCCCTACATTGGTCCTGGTGGGACCTCTGGGTTAACTCATTTGGGTGAAGTCACCCAGAAGTCACTGTAGAGCTGAGATGAGAACAGTCGCCTGGCTGTCAGTCCAGGACCCTTGTCAGGGTACTGTGGAAGCTGAGAACAGTGGCAGGGTAGGGAATGGACACTGGGCATGGCATGTCCTTAAAAGCAGACCATTAGTAGTGGTTGCTGCACAAAAAAGGGTCAGGTAGGCACACAAGAAGGGCACGATTATTATGACATCATAACACCATCTCCAAGCGGCCATGAGATGGCTTCAAGGCTTCTTGTAATTGTCTGCATGGTGCTTCTCTTTTGCAGAATGGGCTTCATTAAATAACATGATTGATCTGTATATTATTCATTGCATTTTCTTTATGCTAGAAGCTGTGTTTCTAAAACAAGCAATTTTTAAGAGAGTACAAAAGAACAACTAAAAAGAAACTACTAGGGCCAGTGAGATAGTTCAACAGATGAAGCACCTGGTTTGGCAAGTGCAAAGACAAGAGATTGATCCCTTTTCCAGCATGCCACACCGGCCACACCTTCAGAGCACAATGAGCCAGTAACTGAGCCTGGGCTTGGCGGCATACACCCATAACCAAAGAGCTGTGGAGATGGAAAACAGGAGGATCACTATGAGTTCGAGCTGTGTAGTGAGACCCTGTACCAAATACATAAATTAGGAAAAAGAAACTACACTTTCCCCAGGAGAAGGTCAATGTTATTTTCATATATTACTAATCTTTTTTGTCCATACACACCCAGTTGCACACACCACACACAAAGTTCTTCAGTGAAATTAGTATCATAATGCCTATGTGTTTTGTGTCCACTAAAAATAACATGAATTGAAAGCACTGTAGGATTAAAAATGTGTGTATAAAACATAAAAACAAGCCAAGTTAATGGTGGCTTATTGAGGATTCATGGCCATCCCTTGACCTTAGGAAATGTTTTTCCATCTCCTCTCTCTTGTAAGTACAACTGCTCACCAAGCCTTGTCATATACTGATTTTCTATACACTTAATTATTTTCTTAAGGTAGCTTTTGAAAGAGAATTATTGAATCACAGTACATGCATTTTTGAAATCTCTTAATAACTATCAACAGATTAATTTTCTGACTGAAATATCAATTTGCTCTCAAGAAGAAGCCAGCAAAGTGATTATCCTATTATACTCCATAGCAGTTATCACTGTCTCTCAGTTTAATTGGTAAAATATGATCATGGTGGTTTATTTGAATATATACAATTTCTGTGATTAAATGTTTTATTTTTTAATTTTTAAAATTTATATTTCATTTTATTTTAATGTATTTGGTACATGGTCTTACTGCACAGCTTGGACTAGTAGTGATCATCCTGTTTTCAGCCTCCCCAGTGCTGGGATTACAGGCATGCACCACCACACCTGGTCTTGGGGACTAGCTTAGGGCACCCTGGAATGAGGCCTGCACAGCATAGGGTACCAGGGATCGAACTTCAGTCCCTGCCCTTGCCTAAGCAGGTACTTAGTCCTTTGAGCTATCCAGGGATTGAACTCAGGAGCCTGTGATCACCAGGCAAGTGCTTATTCTACTGAGCTATCTCCCTGGCCCACCTCTGAGCTATCTTGCCAGCCTTAAATATTTTTATATAATTTTGCTGGTCCATCTTTCTTTCTCTCTCTTTTTCCCCCTAAACTTGGAATTGAATTTAAAGCCCTCATCCTGAGTTACATCTCCAGATTCTTAATTTTTTTAATATTCAGACAAGATCTCACCAAATATTTAAATTGCCTAGGCTGGGTTCAAACTTGTATTTTACCTGCCTCAGGCTCTTAGAGTGCTGAGATTACAGATCTGATCCACTACCCTCAGTTTATTTTCTTCTTATTTGAATACTGTCTTCCATCCTTCATTTCAATTTTTTAAAAAAGTGATTATTTATTTCATTATTTTGTATCTTGAGAGAATGTCTACTGTGTTGTTCAGGCTAGCCTTGAACTCACTACAGAGCCCAGGCTGGCCTGCATTTCCCTATGATCTTCCTGCCACAGCTTCCTGAAATTGGAATTACAGGCTTATATCTCCCTGCCCAGGTCATACTCCATTTTCATATTGAAAAAGGAATACTTATATTATTGATTTATAGCCCCCTTTTTTTAAATGTTGAAGATTATACTGTTTTGCATATCCATTTGTTATTTTTCCACATGGCTAGTCATGGTTTAATTTTGCTTATTAATTATTGTTCAAGTGGGTGTAATATTACATACCCATAATTCCCACAGTTAGGGAAGCTGAGACAGGAAAATCCCAAAATTCTATTTTCCCTGAAAGTTTTGTTCTCACAATTTTTTTAATGGTAAACATTTATTTTTTTTCAATATTAAAGAAGCTTTTAATTTTGAGATAATTGTAACTCATAGTCAATTGTAAAAAGATAATACAGAGAGATCTTGTATACCAGCTTTCCCCAGTGATAACACCTTGCATAACTTTAGTACAATATCACAACCAAGAAATTGGCATGGATACAATTCACCCACTTACCCAAATTTCATGTTTTACATAAAATACATGTGTGCATTTAATTCAATGCAATTTGATTACAAAGAGATTTATGTGCTCACCACCAGAACAGACAGTTCCATCTCATGAATCCCTCAAGTTGTATTTCTGTAGGGGGTGGATGATCAAAAACTACAGTGAGTGTTGTATGAGAGGAGAGAAAGTTAGCACTGCCCTTAACAAGGATGGAAGAGGCCCTCTGGCCTGACAACACACCTACGGTCAAGGCATTGCCACCTGCTTCATGGCATCTAACCACTGTTTTTACTAGTGGACTATATTGGGTTATTTTGCTGAATGCAAGTACCTACAGTATTTGAACTGGCATCAAGTATGAAAAGATCCTTGAAAGACTTCTCCAAATGCAGTTTCACTAACAGCAATGGAACACCCATCTCTGACAAAGCAAAACAAAAAAAAGGGGGACATAATAAAGGACCATTTTGAAGTGAAAAAATATATATATGTATATACAAGGTAGGAGAGATATACAGCTACTTCCTCCTAATTCAATGAGAAGAAATGTTTGTACCAACAGTGCTTAGACAAGATATCATGTGTAAATCTTATCCTCTGAATAACTACTATGAAGACAACAATACGCAATGTATTATTTTTTCCATAATTTTATTGAGAAACAAATAGCAATGAGACAATTTCAAAGCAAATTGGTAGGGCAATTTCAATAATTACCACATTGCATATATTCTTCCTAGTGGTTAATTGCTGTACAAGATGAGGACATGATATCCTATTTACAAACACCATTAAAAAAATCCCTCTATTCATTAAGAGAATGTAACTATACATCTATCCTAACCACTTTGAATACACAGATACAAAATGGACATTCATCTGTATACCCCTCTTTTGTTAAGTTCCATCATTTAAATATTATAGACGTGTAAACTCAGCAAAATATTCTAAAAGAGTCCAGTAGTCCATAATAGTATTGGGTCTTCCGCTTCACTGGCAATGTCAGAAATTGTTGACCTGAGTCCCCTATAGCACAACATAACAGCATGACTTTACTTCTTATATTTTGTTTTTATACTTTTCTGCTGGATAGATACGACCAAGGTAAAGCAGGACCTATGAAACAAGAGTTGTAGCTTTTGGGTCTGATAAGGTCAGTGAAATCCCCTCAGGATTTATCCTGATATCCTGTACCTCAGATTGTAGACGCTTTGTCAGTGTCAGCCATGTGGATGAGACACGGCCATTGCTTGGCCAATGTGCTCTCTGTGAAAGCCTGAGAGA